CATACATACATACATACATACATACATACATACATACATACATACATACATACATACATACATACATACATACATACATACATACATACATACATACATACATACATACATACATACATACATACATACATACATACATACATACATTAGAAGAACTATTTATTGAAGAAAGAAACATCTTCCGAGAAATAGTAAATGATGCGGCTATTAACAATAGCCCAAAAGTAGAAAGAAAGCAGCAATCCGATTGCAAAACCGAATCGAGCAAGCAATCTGACTGGTCAGAGATCGTAAAACGTAAAATTAAAAAGAGCTCAAATGTTTAACACGTGGCGAATGTTCAACACGTGGCGAATGTTCAACACGTGGCGAATGTTCAACACGTGGCGAACATCAACATGTTGAAAACAAAGAAAAAAACACACAACACTAACATAGCAAATATGAAAACAGTTATAGGCACCCAAACTGATAAACAAACAAATTTGAAAGCGATGAAACCTTCGCCAAAAAGAATAGTTTTTTACGTTGGTCGATTGGACCAACAATGCACTGCAAAAGAGTTAAGCGAACACATAAATGGATTGAAAATTGAGGTGCTTGGTTGCTCAGCAATCAAAAACTCAACTTTTAATCGCCGCTGAAAGCAAGCTACAACATCGATCAACACACAAAACACGAACTCTGACAAAATCGATGTTCAACAGACAAGCGCTGCATTCAGAGTTTGTATTTATGAAACAGACTCAGCTGAGTTCATGAATGCAGAAAACTGGCCAGACCAAATCATCGTCCGCGAACGGTGTTTCAATGATCCGTCGGCAAATGTTGTTTCAACTAAAAATAGCAATGAATAAAAACTTCATAGAAGAGAATCTCGAAGAATCAAAATATTACACTGTAAAAGAATTATCTAACATAATAAAATTGAAGAATAAAATGAAAAACAATCACCTACCAATCATTCATCTGAATGCTCGAAGTTTGTTTCATAAATTATTAAATCTAGAAATCTTCTTAAAACAATTCGACGACTTTTTCAAAATTATAGTAATATCAGAAACGTGGTTGAACAATGAAACAGTTGATTTAATTAAGTTAAATAATTACAATTTTGTATATAAAAATAGAAAAAGCAAACGAGGCGGAGGTGTTGGTGTGTTCATAAAGCATGACATCAAATATGTTGTAAATGATAACAGTGCATTTGATGATGAAAATGTCGACGTTCTCTGTGTGGACATTGAATCGGGGCATGCTTCACCTAGGGGTGTGCTAAAAGTTATCGCGATA